CTATGAATCAGTTAAATGCAATGCTAATTGTAACTCGTATATCCAATGAATCAAAACACAATCAAAATATGCACAAACAGTTTATCAAACACTTGGTGTACAATCGATATCGATTGGAAATATAATTCGTTTTATTGATCTTAAAATCCAATCATAATCAAAGTGATTATGATCATATCAACAACAACACCTTTAAAAGATAGTAGAAAATAATTTCCAATCTAATTGATCAAACAACGATGAATTTGATAAATTGCAAAATCAACAATAAAAGAGATAAGTAGATAAAGAGAGAGAGACCAATATTTGCTTAGGTAGTTCCCCAATCGGCCTCACTATGGGAATGTCAGCCCTCAATTTAAAATATAATTGAGATAGTGCTATTAACATTTTCTTTGCAAAATCATTTATACAAGAGATGAAGAATGCAAACCCCAAAAACCCTATTGTTTTATGTAAATTCTTTCACCTCCAACCCTTGATCATAGCTTGATCAAGTGACTAATGATGCAGCTACAATCCTTCGATTATCCTGAGCATGTAATTGTTGAAACCCAAGATTCACGAACACAATTCATCGTGTCACGTTACTCCCTTGCAAGAAAACCATCTTGTCACAAGGCTTTCACTCGGTCGAATCAGTGTTGACATGATCTTTTCCAAAACCTTCAAATTAACTCGATCTTGAAGGAAAATCTCACCTTAGTTTTCTTATTTGAAACACAAAAAATTCCCAACCAAATATTCTTGGTTACACTAAACCTAATTGGACATTATCAACCTTAATCTAGGTGTTCACCCAATCGAAAAATGATTATATGTAGTTCAATTGTGTGTATGCATAGAAGAAGGGATGAAGATGATGGACAACTTTGTAATTTGGTTTCTTTTAGGTTTTAATCACTAGGAAACCTTGGCTAGAAGAAGATGCATGTATGAGTATATATAGATATGTGTAGAAAATGGGAAAATGGATGCAAAAAGAATTTTTCAAGTTTTAAATTGCATAGGTCGGCCTATGAAAGTCATAGGTCAACCTATGATGGTGTTCAGGCCGGCATGTGAGGCGGCCTGTTGGTAGAGCCTACATGCTTCATTCTTGGAGCATGGGAGCCGACCTGAAATATGGATGTGTTGGTGTAAGCCCTAGAGGCCAATACTTTTTGGTACTTGTATCGGATTATTCGTTTAATAATAAAAGGTATTTCTTTATTATGTTTGTCTTTCAGAATAATAAAGTCCCTAGAATAGTTAGTCTGTTTAATGAAATGTTAAGTGTGACTTAATCATGAGATCCCATTAAACATAAAGACATTATTCTTAAAATATCCGTAGTCAAGCTTTATTGCAAAGTGGGATAACATTAAAAGCATTGAGACTATTATGAAGATAGACTGATGATCACATCTCATGGATCATGGATAAAGAGTTATCAAGTCTTGACATAGGTATAAATATTAGGAGTAATATTTATACCGGATTGACCCGCTATGAGAATACTACATAGTATGTTATGCAAAGTGTCATAAGTTATTCTCATGGTGATAATGGTGTATTACCACCCTTCGACCTGAAACCACTATGGACCCTAGATGTAGAGTCGGGTGCTTTATTGCTGATCAAACATTATCCGTAACTGGATGATCATAAAGACAGTTGATGGGCACTCCACAAAGCATGCTGAGGGACATGAGTGTCCTAGATGGAATTTGCCAATCCTGCATAACAGGAGAAATGTCTAAGGGCCCAATATTGAACTGGACAAGGATGACACAGTGTATGCCTTGTGTTCAATATAGACATAGGGGCAAAAGGGTAATTGTACAAACATATATTATCACGAAAAAGGTTTTGTCAGATCACATGACATTTTCGTGACTTGGGTAGCAGTGATGTGTTGCTAGATACCGCTTACTGTTTATTATGTTAAATATATATAATTTAATATAATTACCAACGTTACGAAATCCTACAGGGTCACACACATAAGGACAGTTTGATGAGAGATAGAGAAATCAAAGGAACACCGTAAGGTACGGTGCACTTAAGTGAAAAATAGAAATTCGGATAATATAATAATAATTATTGTTATTTTATAATGGTTATAAAATAATAATAAAATAAATATATTTATTATAATAATAGTTATTATAATAATATATAATATTATTATGGATCATGTGAATTAGGGTTTTAGCCCGCAGCCCACAAGAGAGTCTATAAAAGGAACCCTTGTGATGAAGCTTTCACTTGATGCAATTTCGTTTTTGATTCTCTTTTCTCACTCAAATAATTCCGTTCGTAAGCAGCTAGCACTGTGACCGGAAGCTGTTCGTGTGGACTGAGTAGAGGCGTTGCACTTCATCAACGCTTGTGATCGCTGCATCAAAGATCTGAATCGCCACAAAGAGGTAATGATTCTATCACTGACCATGCTCATTCGTGAGGATCACTAAAGGAAAATTTTTGTTTTCCGCTGCGTTTAGATCGCAATTTTCCTTCAGGATGTGCTGGCCTATACTGAAGTTAAAGCTTCCATAGGTCGGCCTAATCACGTATAGGTCGACCTATGTCGTTGTTTTGAAACACAAACATGGTTTTTTGGTGTGTATGACATCATTCAAAACCCAGTTGAATTTGTAGTTAACACTCACATTCGGAAATGGTTTAGAAAATATTAATGCATCAAGTAAATATTTTTATGTATCAGAATTTTGTTTTTATGTGAAAAAACTCTACAGGTTGACACATACGAGTATAGCTCTACCTATAGAAGAATTGTTTCAACTACAAGTCGACACATACGATGCATAGATCGACACATGTGTTGCAGTGTTAAAGCCTATAGCTTTTGTTTCATATGCTTCCTATACATGTATAGGTCGACACATGAGTTTTATGGGTCGTCTTTTAGATCAAAAATCTTGAAAAATTGCATTTGTTTCTATTCCTTTTGCATTCCTTTTGCTTCTCACTTGTTCACATATATATACTTGTTACATGCATCATTTCTTTTCAATGATTTTTGTAAAATCATAAGCGAAACCTGGAACATACTAAGAGTCGTCATCATCTTCAACCTTGGTTTTAAGCATACACATAAACAATGTACACATAACCATTTATTATTTGGGTGGCATCTAGAATCAAGTTGATAAGGTCCAATTTACCCTGTAGTATTGTAAATTGGGTTGAGATCTTAGGGGGGTTTCAGATAAGAAAACCAAGGTTGGGTTTTCCTTCAAGATCAAAGTGAGGATTTGAAGGTTTTAAACAAGATTACTTAAGTTTGGATTCGATCGAGTGAAGGCTTTGAAGAGATATGGTTCTTGAAAAGGAGTAGCGTGAGATAGTGGATCTGAAGGTTGAGAAACACAAGAAAGGGGGGTTTGAATTGGGTTTCATATTTTGACCCCATTTGTGGAAATTAAATCAATTGCATTAACAAGTAAATAAAATAATTGAACACAATTATTTTATCCTGGCTCACTATTAACAAAGTTACTCCAGTCCACCCCTCAAGGTGATTTCGCCTTATCACAAGGACCTAATCCAATAATCATCAATGATTACAACCACAATGGAAATCCTCCATTACCTTCTTCAGAATCCTGGCATTCATTCGCCTCTCAAGGAATCATCCACTAAGGTGTTAGAAATATGCTTATTCTTCTCAAGCATTCTGGTCTTCACTCTACCGCTCAAGGAATCAACATTACCTTCTAAGGAATTTCTTGCTACCTTTAACAAGGATTCACGCCACCTTAGATAGGATTTCTCAAGCTACCATCAACAAGGAGCTACACCACCTTTAGAAAAAAGATTTTACATGTGTACACTTAATGCTTCTTACAAGCTAATTACACAAATGAAGTACATTAACACTTATGCGTTTCTAAACAAGATATGAGCAACAACTCTTTGATTTCTAATACATAAAACTATCTAAAGAGTGAATCTCTGAGATAAAGCGTGTTTCTAAACAAGATATCAGCAACAACTCCATTCTGATCTTCAGTCTTCTAGCACCTTCAGAGGTTTCAGATATTATCTTGACGAAGAGTGTTGTAGAAGAGTCATTCTTTGTGTAATCTTAAAAATTCCAGGATCTTTGTTCGGAAGAATCTATCTTGAGAATCTTAAGCATTTGTTCTTTTAGAAGTATTATCTTCAGAGTCTTTAGAACTGGTTCCTTCAGAACCTTAGCTTTAGAGTCTTCAAATTTAGTTGAGCATGTTCTTTGTATTCAAAGTCTTCAGTACTTCGTCTAATCAGAACCTTGTCTTTATAAACTCTTCAAAACTTGATCTTCACAAATTGTGTATTCAGAATCTTTAGAGCTTTGTTCACCTGAACCACGTCTTCAGAATCTTCAGAACTTGTAACATTAAAATCGTATCACATTAGAAAGTCTTGTAGACCTTTCTCATAAATTCTTAATTAGAATGTCTAGAACTAACGTTCATTAGAGCTGTTGTATTAGAAACGTTCATGAATCTTCGCTTTAACTTGTACACAGATGTGTTTTCTTTCAGAGTGTTGATAATAGAGTTTGATGACGTTAAACGCCTTCTTATCAGGGTTAGAATCATATTGACAAAAGCCAAACACCATACAAAAACAATATCATACAAAATTGTTCTCTTAGATAACATGTGCAGTTATCATCAAAACTTAATAGCCAGATGTAGAACCAATTTTTTTTTGTTATAATCTTCCCCTTTTTGATGATGATAAATAATGCATTTTGATAGAGCAATTCATATATGGTAATCACCATAAATCCACAGATTCAGAGATAAGCTTAACAGGCTCCCTTGTTTCTGTTACTTTCAAGATTCACTTCAAATATATTGAAGGAAGAGAAACATACATCATCACGAATAAGTACTAGATGTAATCAAAATATTATTGATGGTAAAAAACACACTGACCAACCAATCCAGAATCAAGCATTTAGCAATGAATGTAGTAGATCTTCAATCAACAGTGAATGCTCAATGAATGATGATACTGACGAGCAAACTTATTTAATTGAAACAGCAGTATGGATACATTACAATGTATTTGACACAGGAATTGGCATACCAGGTATGTATTAGTGTTCCTTCCTTTTGTTTTTGAATTAATTATATTTTGCATTCATATTGTTAAGTTTGATTTTTGCTTACGAAATGTACTTAAATTTTTTTCGTGATGTTATAATGTGACACAGAAAAGGCTATAGCTACTTTATTTAGAAGGTACAGGCAAGTCCATGAAGACCATACTTACAGACTCGCTGCTACTGCGGTCACCTTACTCATAGTCTTGTTTCTTCCACTGATACCCTGCTCACAGTCTATCTTCCAAAACTGTCTTATTTCTTCAATTGGTGTGTTTCCAAGTGTGCCTCCCACCGCCATAGTCAATCCACTCATAAAGTTCGCTCTAGTGTTCCTCACACTTTCAAGAATCGGTGCTACCCCTGTTCGTCAGTCACTTGGCCAATGGATTGGTAAAACTGTAAACACCACATGCACTTGGCCAGGACCTTTTATTACTGTGAATTAATCTCTGTATAAGAAATGTTGTACTACATTTTTGTTTTATACACTAAGTAATATGTATTTCATATTGGAAGTTAGTGAGGGGAATAGTGATGATGTAACTTGTCTTTTCAAAATTTTATCATGATGAATTTAAACATGTTCTTGAGCTTATGGGGATCTTGATAGTTTTTTTAATAATATTATAGTTTTTTATGGTATTTTGTATTGTCAAAATTGAATAATTGTAATAATATTGGTATTCTATAGAAGATAATGTAGCAATTTTTAAGTTTTTTTTTTAAATAATATAATTATGGAGGTTATAACCGTCACTATTTTAAATTAAATATATATTATATAATTATGGAGGTTACAACCGTCGCTATTTTTAATTAAATATATTATAAAATTATGTCGGTTACAACCGTCGTAATAATATATTAGAGGCAGTTTCAAAACCGTCCCGGAATATTACGGCAGTTGGAGCGACAGTTTTACCAACCGTCACAAAACAACATTGCGACACATGTTTCTACGACAGAAGGGGAACCGTCGTGACTTTTGATTTGCCTCGGTTCAAACCGCCGTAACCTGCCAAAATTAATCGTCGTAATTTTCCAATATATGAGAAAAGATAGTTCAAAGCAAGGATTGGTGGTGAAAAGAATAGAAAAAGACTAATGAGTAGAAAGTCAAGCTCTAGTGGCAATCTTTCTGGACTTCTACCTTTGAAAATCAGTGTTTTCAGAGCTATCAAGCTTGAAGCCCTCATAGGTTACAAGATCATCATTCAAACCAACCTTTTGTACCTTCTTAACTATTCCTTCTTGAGAGAAAAGTTCTGAGAGAACTCGCCCATAAGGAATGAAGAAAAATATTTCCTCGTGAGAGGCCATGATCATTGACTTCATGAAGTTGAAGATGGTGAAAGGTAGGCTAACTTTAACCCTTGTTAGTAGGAAGTACATAAGATGCTTTTCATTAAAAGTGGGCAAGTCCAGATCCTTTTCTCTTGGCAGAAAATTTGTCATAAGCAATTGATGCTAGATTTTTGTCATGGGAGTGAGAGTAGAGACACATGCAGGATTTTCATGATTGGCATAAATACGTTGAAGAATGTTGGAGATGAATGGGTTTTTCTTCTAAGTTACTCAACATAAAATCCATTATCTTCATACTTTATTGCTTTAGCAGTAAGTGGTGGAGTAATGATGATTGGGAATCCAAAGACATCGTATTGGATTTCAAAAGCATCCTGACTAATTTAATTAATGGATGTATTCACCCATAATTCTTTTATGAGAGTAGGGTAAATAGGTCCATAGAGCATGTCAAAGTATTTGTCCTGCCGTTGAAAAGAGACAGTTCTTTGAAGAACAAACTCTTGTTTCTTCAGTTCTTTAAAGACAACAAATTTTTCATTTAGGGTAAACAAGAGATTTTCGTCACCATTAAAAGTTTTAAAAGCCACTTCTGTTGTTTAGTATTGACTAAATTAAAAGAGAAAATAATTATTTTCAAAGAAGATTTAAAAAGAAAAGAGAGATTATAAGGAGTAACTTGTGGATGAATATTGTACTCCAAATTTTATCCTAGGGCTTTTAGCCATTTCATTCATCATTACTAAAAAGGGTTGGGTAAAGGGTAATAAGGTTCAAAATGAATTTTGATGTTACATGGTTATTTTTGTGGTCTTTTTTTGTTCAAGTAAAAATTAGTGTTTTAACTAAGTACCTTTTCTTTTGACTTTTTCTTGTTGCAACACATAGCTATTTCAAAGTTTGATTTTCACTTTCATAAATTATAAATTCAAGGACAAAAGAGACCAAGTTTAATTAAATAGAGTTTGTCCATATTGTAGCACCCCAAAATTTACCTCATCATTTCTTGATCTGCTGGCTAGTGTTTCTCTGCATTTTACATATCTGCATATCATGGAATTGGTTCTCAAGATATGGGATCAAAGTGTTTCTGTGGCTCAGGGTTCTCCTTTAATTGCAGAGTTAAAGCAGCAAGCGTCGGAGGATTCGATATTTATTTTGCGCAGCAATCGAGTGACTGATTTTATTTCATTCAGAAAGTTATTTTCAACACAGGAGACGGGTCACAGGTTATCTCAAATATTTTCACAGTTATAATATCAAAAGGCAAGTTTCATAGGCTTAACGTGGCTCAGAACGGGTGAAAACATATGAATATGCAAGTTTCCCTCCAAATGGCGCATTTTTCAAAAGTTGTGAGTGGTTAACCGATTAACCAATTTTCACTAGCAAATGGTTAATCAATTAACCAAAGGAGAATTTGCCCAAATACGTGCATTTTCAATACTGCCACTTTTGGGATCCAATTTGATCACTTGTGAATTGGTTTTTGCATCATTAGAAGGATCTAGAGTCACTCTAAATTTTGATTAACTTTCAAAACCAATCCAATTTTCCATTCCTAATCCCATCCCAATTTTTAAAACCTCACTCTAAACCATAATTCTACTCCTAACCAAGAGCTTATTTAAGTGAATTTTCCCCAAACCTCACAATAATTCACAAGAATCTTCATTTTTCTGATCTCTCTACACATTGCTCTCAAATTCTCAACTTTTTCACACTCCATTAGAGATCTTTCACTTGAATTCTTTGATTCTTCATTGGAATCCTTTAATTCTAGATCTTAACCTCCATCATTCATCTCCATCAACTTAAATTCATCATTTGATTTTCGTTTGGATTTGGATCTGATTTTGGAAGCAATCTTTTAAGTGATTCTTGGATCAACTTTGGCTTATTTTGCTCATTCTTCAATTCTCTGAGAAGAAATATCTTGGATAAACTCTGGCTTATTTTGCTCATTCTTCACTTCTAATGCAAGAAATCTCTTGGATCTTGAAGTTTTCTTGGGTTTCTAGCTTGGATCTATCAATTTGCAGTAGAACAACAATTACCAAAGCAAATCTCAACTTTGAAGGTTGGTTTATTCTAGATCCACTTCTGTTTTGAGCTTATTTGGATAATCACAGTGTAGATCTTCAACTTTAATTGATTTTTGATGATTTGATCTATGTGATTTGTGATCTCAATGCTTTGATAAGTTTGATTGATGTTTGATCATTGGTTTTTGGTGTTAAATTCGTGCATAATTGATAACATGATCATTTGGATGATTGCATAATGGATTAATTGCTGAAAGTGCTTTTGAATTATTGTTTTTCTGCTTCTGGTGCAGTGTTAATCGATTAACTAGTTGCAGTACAAAACTAGTTAATCGATTAACTAGTGTAATTTCAGCCTTTTTTAAGTGGTTAATCGATTAACCACATTTGCACTGCAAATGATTAATCGATTAACACTGGACCAAAATGTGATTTTTGGTTTTTTTCAAGCATGTTTGATTTTTTTCCACCTCTAATCTTCATGGATTGATATGATGCATTTGTGCCTGTTTTCATAACGCTTGATTGTGATTCTTCGACGCGTGACTTTTGGTTTCCGTTTGAATGCTTAACATGTATTTGATGCTTTCTTGATGTGATGATCTTATGCTTTTATTATTTGTATCATGTTAATTGTTGATGATTATCTTGCTAGACTTGTGATGCATGTTAGTATTTGCTTCCGATCGTTTGTCGCATGATCATTTAGTTACTTGAATTGATGTGAAAAGCATGTTGTTTTTGTTGATTCTTGATGATGCAATCTTGTTGATCATTTACATTTATTTTTGATGCATGTCTATCATTGCTTGATACTTTTTCATGATTGATATGTGTTCATGTTGATTGTGTTGAAGCATGCTTGTTGCCCTGCCTTTTACACCTACTTTTTGTGCTGAATTAGTAGTTGTTAAATGCTGTTGAGCTATCTTGCTGGATTTCATTGTTATTTTGTGCAAGAAGCATTGTTGTAGTTGTTGTTTTTCCTTTTTTTCTCTTGTTTTTGCCTTGATTTTTTCATGCTCCCTTAGGACTGCTAGTCCAACTTAATTTCCGATTAAAGTTTGGATTAGGATAGACATTAGGAGTATAATCCATGCATGATAACTAGCAGGTTAGTCCCGTTTAACCTCAGCTTTAGGTCCATCTTTTACATGCTAACATTAGGATATAATTCTCTTCCGTATCCCGACCTTAGGGCCACTTTGCATGACAAAGTTAGGACCGAGTTTCCCTTAGAACTTTCATGCGTCTTTCTCTATTCTCGTCTCAAAACAATTCTAACACACTTAATAAACACGGTGAATGTTGTGCGCCACGAGCCTTAATCATATGAGAAATGACGAGAGAGGGGTCTCCTTTTGCTCGTCTAGAGTGTCTAGCGTATGTTCCATCTGGGGGTGATATGCGACACATTTGTTCCTATATCATAGTCTTTAGTACAACGTGAATCACCAAGCAAGCTAATTCACTTCACTAAAACTCATAAACAAAATTCAGTCCTTTTTATCCTTTGAGATTTATGTTTCAAACTTATTTTTAGAAAGAGTACGTTACTTTTCCGTTCTAACGCAAACAAGCATCGACCCTAACCACTGGAATGAGAATTTAACATCACTCATGAAAAACACTTAACAAACCTGTGGTTTTGTTACCCGAACTAAGTTTTCTCTGATTTCTCATACCAGATGAGGATACGTAGGCACAAGACGGCGATGTCTTGGCGATGAACCTTCTCCCATCACCCGTAGTTTTCCGAACTACATTGACTCTAACTTTCCCATTGCACGAGGGAATACGTTGACATAGGGCGGTGATGTCCTATCGAGTCTCTTTCTTTTTCTTTGTTCTCATTTTTGTTTAGCAGTAGTTTTTAGATGACACACCCTTTGATTAGACAACAAGCATGGATTTCGTTGAGTACAACGGATGTGAGGGGTGCTCATACCATCTTCTTGCGTAACCGACTCCCGAACCCAAGATTTGGTTGTGATGACCTTGTCTTGTCCTGTTCTTTAGATTTTCTTTGATCGTTTCCTTTTCCTCCTTTAGGATAAATAACATTTTGTGGTGGCTCTTCTGTTTGTTTTCGTCAG